ACCTGGTTTTGTAATCATCTGGATTTTGACACTTAATTAATGAATATACCAATGTAGTGTCGTAAGCACATATCAAGTATCAAGAAGATGTGGCACTATAATTAAAGATGAGAGAGATGCCGGTGATATCATACTACGATACAATATATCAATGACAGAATGAGGATCACGGCAATTTCAGTTAAGGAGCACGACCAATGTAGTTTATGGATTATGACAATTTTACTATATGGACCATAGCAGACTTGTTTGCAAATTTTCTATTCCATGGAGCTTGTCAAATGTAGTTTACGTATCATGGAAAATTCAGAGTGTGAATCATGAAAAACTTAGTTTATGGATCATGGTTTATAGTACATTTTCCATCCAAGTTGCCCTGGACCATGGCAAAAGCTTTGAACTCTGAGTGTTTTCTCGTTTAATACCATCGCCACTTTACATGTGTATGTTGTTTTTCTACATTTTACCTGAGCAAAAAAAAATTATATTTTACGGAAAATTCGTTGAGCATACCATGGAGTTTTCTAATCGTGTCATGGTAATTTCACTATGCTTTACTTTTCTGGTTGCATTTAAGGAAAATGCATGTAAATTTGTGTAGTTGAAAGATGGCAAACTGAAGAAAAAAAATCATCCATTGACATCGCCTTCTTCAAAAACAAACTATACATGTCCAATGGAAAATATTGCAGGAAATATTTTTGTTCAATTATATATGTTCATTTATGTGATTTATTTTTGTTTTTCATGATATCATGGAAATTAAAGAATTTTTGAACTATCTTCTTTTTCTATATTCAAATGGTAAATTTACATTCTATATTTTGGGGACTGTATTTTTCTTTTTTGGCACAAAGAATTACCTGGAGGAATGCTAGTATAGTAAGTGGCCTATCGGGCCGTGCGACGCGCTGGAGGGTTGGTCCAGTGAACGAAAACGTTCGGTTGATCAAACATCCTAAATCGAATGATTCGTTCGCTGCGGGTTACTCCCAGATCGAGCGTCAATTATATATTGGCGTCTAAAACTTATGTACAAGATTATATGCTTTATTATAAGTACGCATTATATACTGTATTATTCGTAGTCTTTTATGTGTTTTGTTCAGAATATGTTATATGCATATCTTAGTCAAAAGGGGTGCCTCGAATCCCTTTCGCTGATCCACTTTACCACAAGAAATGAATTGGCACCGCAAGTTTTCCTCTTCTTTGGGAGCAAAGCACAGAACAAAAGAAGTAAAGCGTGTCTCATCTTTTCACACACACACACACACACACACACACACACACACACACACACACACAAACACACACACACATGGCTGGTCTCTTGGAAAGCAGACGCTTAGCTGATATTTCTACCATACAGTATCACCACTAGCATTTCTAGTGCTTTGCTTAATTTCCACGAATCCACGTAGAACTGGTACTAAACCAAAAGGAGCCAGGCGTGCAGGAGGAAACACCCCAAAGTGGCTTGCACGAGCCATATCGGCGCCGGCCACTAACCCTGGGGCCCCGGCCTTACCTGTCCGTTGGCCGGCTCTCCATTCCACCACCATGGTCACTTCCATCACCGGATGACCGCCTCCACGCTATAAAAACCCACGCAGAGGCAGAGCAGAGCAGATCATCGCACACACGCACGCTCGGAGTCAAAGATAAGCTAGATAAATAGTCCAGAGTTCACACATCATGCGCGCTGCGGCGAACCTCCTGCACCGCGCGGCCCTCGCGAACAGTGGCCCGGGCGAGCCATCGTCGTCGCCGGTGAGTATGAGGCACCTGAGCAGCAGCAGCAGACGGCGCCTCCGATGGCGGTCAACTCGGACATGGTGCTCATCCTAGCGTCGTTGCTATGTGCGCTCGTCTGCGTCCTCGGCCTCGCCCTCATCTCCCGGTGCACGTGCCGACGCCGCCGCTCGGCCTCATCATTCGATGACGCTCCTCCTCCCCCGAAGGGCCTCAAGAAGAAAGTTATCCACGCGCTCCCCACCGTCTCCTTCGTCGCCAACGGGCCTTCTCCGACGCCGGCGACAGGCTCGTCGTCAGAATGTGCGATCTGCCTGGCGGAGTACATGGAGGGGGAGGCCCTGCGCGTGCTGCCACGGTGCGGCCACGGCTTCCATGTCGCATGCGTCGACGCCTGGCTCCTGACTTGTGCCACGTGCCCCTCCTGTCGTGCCCCCATCGCTGCCACGCCCGCGGGGCCGGCGTCGACAACCACGGTGGTCGTCGTGGCGGCGGCAAACAACAGGTGCGGGAGGTGCGGCGAGCTGGCGGCGCCGACCGGTGGTGACGATGACACGTTTTTACCTTAGTTTGAAATTAATCAGGTTTGTAGTATTGTTCTCTCTCTCTCTCTCTCTCTCTCTCTCTCTCTCTCTCTCTCTCTCTCTCTGCTTTTTAGCTAGGTCGTGTTGTACATTCAATTTGTCTTCA